CACACCCCTCAGTATTTTTCCAATCACAATCTGACTTCTAGACCAATCATACGATATTATTGTCTAAAATATAATAATATACACTTTCAAGGATATGAACAGTCCGGGCACACCAGTGTCTTTCTAAATACAATGGAATCTTTAATCTCTTAGTATATTTTATTACAGAAGAATATTCTAAATCACACACTTTGGTTCTGAATCGGTACAGCCGAAGACACATTACTGAATCACCGATAATACCAAAACCACATAACCACGGAATGAAAGCATCAGTACAAAATATCAATCATGATCATGATAATAACATGAATAATACAACACATCTCAAATCGCGCATATTCACAAGGACACCCCCTCCCCCCCCCCATGATTCTGATCACCAGGCCCGTAGCCAAAGGGGGGAACGTGCCACACCCCCCCCCCCCCCTCAAAAAAAAAAAAAAAAAAAATCCAAGATAGGTTGAACTTTTTTAGACCCCTCCCCAGGACGTCGATCAATAATGTGCCCCCCAACATCAAACTCTGGCTACGGCCCTGCTGATCACGTATTATTTGAATGAAATAATTTTGCTGTCCATACGGGATGAGATGTTCTGCAGAACATGATGCCTGCATGAAGAGCGATATTATCGAACGTCTTGCACAGACGACCTTTAAATTATTAAAGCTGACATTTCGCTGCCCATAGTGTCCATATTTACGGAGAGATATCATTTCTTGCCGTCTAGACAGATACATTTCATGATCTATTCAGAATCAGGACCAAACTGTTCCTTTGAACACGGCTTATACCCCAGTCATATTAACGAGACCGATACCAGACCGATAACAGATCGAATACTAATGTGGATTGCCCCCAATGGCCACGAATTGGTCGGTATGGAGTCGGCCTGGCCGTCTGACCAGGGTCCGGCGCGGCGGTGTGACTGAGATCTATATAATACTATAGATCTCTATTTGGATATCATACGGCTGGCCGCACTGAACGCGAACGTCGTGTGTCCGCAACGCCACTACTTTGAATTGACTGAACACATCTTATGATCGGGTGATACATTTTGTAGTATCAAATTAAAAATGGGGATGGGGGGGGGGGGGGGGGTGGGGGGCGTCCATTTTCCACACCCAGTGCAGCTAGCGTCATCATACTCACAAACAACTCAAACATTGCATCTCATTTTCCGATTCATAGTCACAATAACAGAAGTAAAATTAAGGAAACATCGAAACTGTCTCTATTTAAAAAGCTTGTCTAGTAAACACTAAAAATAATGCATTTAAAAAGAAAAGCCAACACAATCAAGAGAATATAATTGGAATGAACTCATAGCAACACCCGTAACCAAAGGTTTAGGAGAAAAAAGGAGCATGGTGATGATAACGACTAGGGATAGAAAAATAAATCTGTAGCGGCATATACATTCAATATGAATACATCTTAGAGGTCTGAATTTCAATATAGATGTTTCTCACAGAGGTACATTCATAACACGACCTGCGGATATATTAATGTATGCATGCGGCATGACAAGGAAGATGAACAATTAAAAGGGGAGACAATCATATATCGTATATTCAGTACAACATAAACACAATTTCATTACATAATTAAAAGCAGGTATAACTCATACACTCTGCAGACCTGTAGCACATTGCAATCCCGTTTGAAATATTTTTAAAGCCGAAATACAAGTAAATAGAATTAACTTGTTTATTGTTAACCCAATCAAGAGTAAATATAAATAGAGATTTGTAAATATAATTGATCTGAAAATGCACTTATCATATGCTATAATACACATAGTTATGTCAGAAAGACCGTGATAGTATCGCACAAAGTTGTATAAGATATCAATAATACAGTAACACCAAAAACAAGGACAGAGACACACATAATTATTAGGGGCATATATTATACACTATAGTCCAAACCTCACGATCTTTAGTAAAATCGAGACGTTTGGGCGTTGGTGTAAACGAAATATAATGTCGAATGAATTTCATTGTACATTGCACATTGAACAGTAATGTTGTCAAGCTTCCAATGTCTCTTTTCTCATATCATTATCTTGATGTAAAGGGGTCTGAGCATCCAATAGTACACGTCAACTGTAAAAATAATGGATTGTTTTTGTATAGCCCCTTATCAGCACAAATAATAGAAAGCCAAGTAGAAGGAAAAGGAAAAAGAAAAAGAGGCAGACAGAGAAAACAGTGGTTTGATAACATCAAAGAATGGACAGGTCTCACATATACAGAAGCCAAAAGGTTAGCACAGGATAGAAACAAATAGAGAAAGACAACAAGAAGATGTGCAGATGTGGTCGCCAATCGCCAGCAACTGACGGTGGCAGCCAGGTAGCCAGGTAGGTATAGCGTTTTGCTGGAATTTTTGATTCCACATACTTTACATAATGGTAAACCTTACGATTCATTCAATGACTTCGAAAGGCACGGATACTGTAATGTATAATCGACCCACATATATAATTAAGAAACAAAAACATGTTTTATGAAATATTCCATGTGTTTGATCATACACATCCGAAAATGGCAATACCCAAAGTCACTGATATAGAGGATCGAGACCGTGACGAAACAATACTATAATAAATAATAATATAAGTGGGTTCTTGTATAGCGCTCATGTCAGTCAGATTTGACCCTCCTGGCGCTCCCGATTATTACCCTGACTTTAGCACGGCTGCCATACAGCGCTCTAGCATTTCAAGGAATAAATTCCTACCGGGTACCCATTTACTTTACTTCACCTGGGTGGAGTGTGGCAAATGTAAATCAATGTCTTGCCATAAGACAATAATAAATAGCTTTAGTGAGAGGAGATTGACCTAGAGATGGCAGCATAACGAGCGATTCATTGACAAATAGATAACACATCCAACATTTTACTCTCTGAACGTAGAGGATAGGAAATCCACTCTTTTACGAGTGACATTAGGGATCAGTAATATTTGGAATCGCCTGGTTTCAGAGCTGAAATAGACGTTAAAATTCTGGATTTCACTCTCAAAAGAGTAACTCAAATAACTACTTTAGAGTCGATTCCACTATAAGTTGTAGTGGATTCAACTCCAAAAGGTGATCCCTATAAATTAATGAGCCCGAAGAGTCGATAATCACTCCACAACACACAGAGAGTACTTCAAAGGAATTTACAACTCTTTAAGAAATATACAACGCATTTGATTATAATTGTTTATAAAATTACCAAAATATACAAAACATTAGATTTGATATTACACATAAATACAATATATAATTTTTTTTCATTTACACATTAATGATAAATAATTGCGGTTCTCACTCATGCAGCTCATCATTTTGTATTAGTTTCTGTACCCTCGATCTCTCACTTCTTTTTGTCATTGTCTACTCTGTGTATTATGACCGTGTTCTTCTATCTTTGTCGTGCAAAGCATTGTCTTGTCCCTTTCTCATCTCTGTTGGCATCCCCCCTTTTCTTTCCCCTATAATGTAGTTCCTTTTGTAGTTACGGATTAGTTAATTTAATTACTCATTATTACTAAGTATCATTTGAGGTGTATAAGATTGTATAAGCATTGCTAATTAGTCGACCCCTCTGTTTCCAACATGTATTTCTTACGTTTGTTTAAAATGCTTATAATTGATTTGTAATGTTTTGTTGGAAACATGAATAAATTGAAATTGAAAATTAAATTGAAAATTGATTTGAAGTTCTTTAATGTAATGTGGAAAAAATGTTCTTCAATATGAGGGGGGTGGGCCTTTGCTTATGACGTAAAGCTCATAGAGACTGGCATACTTTACGAGCGTACTAACTTCATTGTAGATTATTTTATTCCACTGATTTATGGAGCGCTATACGTGTCAAACTCCCCACCCAGTGTACATCACCGTAATTCTCTAACTAAATAAATCCATATAAATTAATTAATTAATTAATACAAAATTAACTGAATAAATAAATAAATGAATAAATAAATTAATTAACAAAATAATTAATAAATAGATAAATTAATTAATGAATGAACAATAGTCGTGTCAACATAAAATCAATATCTTATTTTCATATCATTACAGGGTTCGTAATGCATTCCATTAGGTAGAGAAGTTCAGTATATGTACAAAGTAAAGAGGTTTATAACTTTCGCTCCATAAATCATTGGACTAGGTTACACTAGGTTTAAAGTTGGACTGTATTACTTGTAGCTACTTGCGCCCTCTATATAGCCAACAATACCTAAGCGGTACCGTTGATCCCCATGGTCCCCCTTTTCTTATGATAATTGAGAGCTGATTTGATGAGATAACTACCCGTCAGTGACCATGCAGGGAGTTCTAATCTCTCCTGGCCAAACTAGTGCAGATAGGTTTTATATCTCTTCCTAATTGAGTTTAACTGGAGCCTAGGACTACGGAATATTTCAGCTGATAAAGTGTCAGATGAAGTCTGAAATGGAAGACTAGTATAGCTTGTCAAATCATTGTTTTGACCACTTATATTTGATGAATTCAGACATAACTTCCAAGTGAAATGAGAATATGTTATTTTCTATCTATTGTTATGTATTTACTCTTTATTCCTAAGCGATGAAACTTTCACATAAATAATAAACCAAATAAAACTATTACGCGTTAACACTTTGGAATGTAATGAAAATGCAGTTTGGTCTCTTATGATACACATTTCACAAGCGGGGTAATCTATATATTGCAATTTCTTGGAGACATCATAAAAACAAATACAGCTGCAATTAACATTATGATTACTCATGATACATGGATACACATTTCGCGAAGTAAACAACGTCACAGTCGTCACGATATTGCAATATCCGTTAATTAATAAGTGAAACTGAAGAATAATTTGTTTTTCTCGCATACAAGAACATATTTTTGTGTGCACTTTTTCAAATTTTCCAGGGGGAAAATTTCAGCTCCCTAAAAAAATTGAGGGGGAACGTGCCCCCCCCCCCCCCCCCCCCCCCACCTCTGATGCAGATTCACTGAAGAAAAATAAAAATAATTGCACATTACATAATTCATTTTATCTATCTTATTGAATGCATATACTTGGTCCAGGTTTTCATCACAAAGTCAGCTTACGTAAGCCAAGGTTAAATGTAGATTGATTTCATAACGCCAAGTTTATTTTCATTGAATACAGATCAGAATTAGCATAGATTTGATGACCGTGCACAATGAATCGAATTATTTATTCTCAAGTAAAACACATACAAATACAATCATTGCATCCTCTGAACTAAACCAAGGACCCGTTTCACAAAGCCATTTGTCAATGACAAATCTGCTGATAACCATTCAGAAGCAAGGAATTCACTAGCTCATAACAATAACTGTCATTTTTCATTGACGACAAGTTTTGTGAAATGGGGCCCAGGTCATTTTGCTTCACTCCTATCACCACATATAGAAATAACTTGTTATGATAAAATCTGTAAATGACTATAGAAAGACATGTTTGCTTGCAATAGTACAACAGCACCCCGGCTGGAATTCACAAAATAAAATTTGAACATAAACCGTGGTCTCAACCATCAATTTACTATGGGCGGCCAAAGAGGCCCAACAAGTAAATACACACTTAATAAGGGTAACAAGATTCAATGCGGTTTCTTCTTTAAAGTAAAGACCAAAAGAAAGTAGAGTTCCATGTTTTTGCCCATACTTTGATATGTATTTTGTTGTCTCTTATTTTCTCTTTAGTCTGCCCGTAGTCGATTGGAGGTTTTTAACTATGGCTTAGATTTTTAACACCTTGTAATTTCCCGCTCTTTATTCCCATCAGTGTCATAATTTAAGATGGGGGTTGTAGTCTTTCGGCAATGCACTTTGGTTTTTCAGTTTTAGCGCCATCTCCACGCTCTTGATATAGAGTGACAGGACCTCTCTCATCTCGTCCGTATACGGGTCGAAGCTGAGTTTCTGCCGGGTACTCTCTCGTCGTTTAAACTTGCCGTCCGGTGAGCTCAGCGTACAGAGGATCCGTTCTTCGTTGGGCGGCTGACCCAGGAACTGGACCATCTTGTTGAGCGATTCGAACGGGTCGTTTCGGAGGTCCTCGTAATGGATGACTAGGATCTTCTTGCTGTATTGGAGGATGTTCAAGGCTGTGTTGGTCCAGGTCCGTGACTTACCAGCCACGAAGTCGATCCATTCTGTAAAACAAAGCAAGGAAATTCATCACGTTATCAGTTTGTGTCACATAGGCAACATATACTTATTATAGTAACGTTTAGTAAAAACAAATGGCTGGTTATATACTTGAAAACTGAATATAAGAGAGATTTGGATCAAAATAATGTTTGCCTGTAGTACGAATTGGATACAAATCGAAGCTATCAAGGGAATATCATTGCTAATAACCATGATGACATATATTCATAAAACATAAAATATTGACTTTTACATTAGCTAGTCAATCATGAGGATCATCAACGACCCAAGATTTTAAAAAAATCCTTGAACATACTATAGTGAAATATTGTATCTATTGATGCTTTAACACAAGATTTCATGTCCATTTAAAATGGTAAACTAGTTTTGTTTTCTCTTTTGGTTCCTGTTTTTCTCTGGAGGAGAAGGATTTTGTTTTAATTGTATTTTATTATCAGTAAGTCGACCTTTAATCACTGTGACCCTTGGGGTTTTCCCCCTATATAACTGCTTTAGTGGAATGTGCAGGTGCACCATTGTGTAACCTGGGTTTTCCCCTCTATTCTAATTCAAACAGGCGGTGACTCTCCTCGACAAGTGGCCTCTATTTAACGCTCTATCCAAGGGATGGGGCGTTTTCACTCTAGCCTAATCTTTGAGTAGGGACTTTTATATTTGCACGTCGACATAGTGAACTGCTATACGTTTGACGTCCTTTTAAAACACCAGCAATGCATTGCCTTAAAAGGACGTCACAGTGCCTTAAAAGGATGTCACACGTATCAGACCACTATGTCGACGCAAATCTAAAAGTCCCTAATATCTCACCTGTTCCCTGTGTATAGTGCTTCTCGTTGGCGAATCCAGTGTGACCGCCAAACTTTCGATTATGTTCAGACATGATGGCTTTGTAAGGGTTCCTGATGATGAGTATAGCGCCATCAAACGATGAGATATGCTCTTCGTCAAAGCGATGTGTCTTCACTGCTATCGTGTTGCCTTTTCTCCAGTTCTCCCTCTCACCAAGAAAACCTAAGTAGGAGAAAGACATTCGTATTAGCGTGTTAGGCTTGAGGAGTTTTGTAAAATGTCAGAGGTAGAGGTGATGGCTAGGGATCAAAATAATGACAGGAATTGAAAAAGAAATAGAGAAAGAAAAATCAAACAGAATTTGAGATGGAAAGAGAAAAAAATATTAAAGTGAAAGGGAAAAAAGAGGGAGAGAGAGAGAGAAGGAGGGGGAGAGAGAGGGAGAGAGAGTGAGAGAGAGAGAGAGAGAGAGAGAGAATCGAAAAGAGAAGATGAGATTAGATTGAGAAAGAGGAGATTAGAAATGACGTATGGAAGAGAATGAAAGAGAAGAGATTTTAACTAGAAATGCAATCGTGTCAGAACGATGTGCGTGCAATGACGCCGTGTTTCTACTTGTCAAACGAAAGAGCTTCTCTCGGACTATCCAGACCAATTTGCACGAAGTCTGTAGCTTCTGTGATATTGGAGATAGGTAGGGCGAAAGAAAGGCCTCAACAGTGACCTTGATGGGATGGTAGTGACTATGCTTACGAAGTTGAAAGAAATTGGGATATGGGAAAGGACGTAGAAAGGGCTCGCAAGCACTGCGTGCAAAAACCAAGGGGATTTGGTGCATGTGTGTCATTGCAATGAAAATCGTTCTGGGGGTCAAAAGCGTGAACTCGATATGCCTCCATAGACAATGCGTGTAATGCATGAGCGGAAAACGTACAGGATCTGTATTATGACCGGAGTTAAATTGTTTTTTCTCTCTCTCTTTATGTCTCTTTATGGGCCGTATTTGGTATCATTAGAAAGAGAATTTCATGGTTGTTATTGTAAACCACCTTCTTTTTTTCTATGATAATCCTATCGAAACACGTGATGTAAAATAGATTTATAGTACAAATGGCGTTTTTAATGGCCCCCTTGACCAATTTCAAAAATCCGGCCAAGAGGTGCCCTGCGTATTGAAACTCGGCATGTTACTTCAAATTTTCAAGGAAAAAGAAGGACGTTTAAGGGGCGAAAAGCAGTCTGAAAAAATGACGTCATAGCCGATACGTGTTAAATTCGGGCGGAAACTAGGCGGAATTCGTGTAGTGACCTTTGTTCAAATGCGATTTATTCACAATTTTCTGTGTGAAAATATACTATACTTGGTATCATTCGAAAGGGCACTTCATTGCGGTCAGTTTGACACTATTGTTATCTTCGCGCAATGTATTGCACGCATTTAACGCGCTATTACGTAATGCATAGTAAATTCATCATTTTTGGCGATTACTTTGCGCTGACATATTCGAATTTTACCAAACTTAGTAAACAGTTGTCACGTATATGGATACATATGTCTGCAAAGTTTCATTGATGTAGGTATAACGATCGCCATTTTAGAGCAAGTTGAAGTTATTTCTCAATTTTCTTGAAAATGGCGAATTTGGAGGGCAATTTTCTCAAATTTGGTCAGTGATAGGGTATATAATTTTGTATATGGCTGGAAAGGGCATATCTTCAAGTATCTAAATCGAAAAAAGGGTACGGGTTTGCTAAGTCATTATGGAGATACGGCCACAGACAGAAAGCCGATTCCCAGAACTTTAGAGGGCGCTATTTATGTTGTGCAAAGCCATTGGATCGTGAAATTTGGCATGGCTATGTGCAATTATGAGATAAAGATACTGTGAGATTTAAATACAAAACGGAATTTATATGAGAAAGTTATGGCAGTTTTAGATTATTTAGGGGTCCATTTTTCAAGAACTTGAGAGATTTTTGACGGAGTCGGTTTTAGATTTGAATTTCGAGTATGAAGATGGCATTTTGAAGGTCAAGTCATATGTCGCAGATGAAAGAACATCTCTCAGACTATCTAGAGGAATTTGTTAGAAGGATGTAGGATCTAGGATAGTGGATATAGGAAGGAAGATATAAAGGCCTTAAAATGGACCAGAAACGGACAAAATGGCGCCTGGACGGTTATGCATGAGTGATTTCGAAAATCGAAGAGGATAGGGACCTGGATGAGATGTTAGAGATGATGCCTACGAAATTTGAAAGGAAAAGGACATGAGAAAAGCACCTAACTAGGAATAACAAGCACTACGTGCAAAGCGAATGGGATTCCGGACGACAAGAAGAAGAAGAGGAAGAGGAAGAAGAAGTAAGAATATTAATAAGAAGAATGTGAACGAAAACAAGGCAATGACGAAGGTTCGTCATTGCAAAAATATATATAAAAAAATGAGCGTAAGCTTAAATCAGTTTGGATAGATAGTCCACACTACGTTCAGTATAACCAAACTGAGTGATATCATCAGGAGATGTAGACGTATGTATCAGTTTGGATAGATAGTCCACACTACGTTCAGTATAACCAAACTGAGTGATATCATCAGGAGATGTAGACGTATGTATCAGTTTGGATAGATAGTCCACACTACGTTCAGTATAACCAAACTGAGTGATATCATCAGGAGATGTAGACGTATGTATCAGTTTGGATAGATAGTCCACACTACGTTCAGTATAACCAAACTGAGTGATATCATCAGGAGATGTAGACGTATGTATCAGTTTGGATAGATAGTCCCCACTACGTTCAGTATAACCAAACTGAGTGATATCATCAGGAGATGTAGACGTATGTATCAGTTTGGATAGATAGTCCACACTACGTTCAGTATAACCAAACTGAGTGATATCATCAGGAGATGTAGACGTATGTATCAGTTTGGATAGATAGTCCCCACTACGTTCAGTATAACCAAACTGAGTGATATCATCAGGAGATGTAGACGTATGTATCAGTTTGGATAGATAGTCCACACTACGTTCAGTATAACCAAACTGAGTGATATCATCAGGAGATGTAGACGTAGCGAGACAAAAGACCCTTTACTCAAGGGGGTGTAATTGTTTCCTACATGGCTCCATCTATTCAACTAACATTGATGTTCAACATATATTTCCTGTACCATAGATATAGATGTATATAGTGGTGTAGCACGGGTTTACTACTGGGGGGGGGGGGGGGCTAGCACCAGTGTGGAGTGGGGGGGGGGGCACCAAAGAAACCGATTAAAGTGAGGATCCTGGAAGTACTCCTTTCATCTTCTTCTCTGGTTCTTCCACCTCTCATCTTTTCCCTTTTCTCTAAAATTTTTATATTGTTTTTAAGCCCGATTTTGGAGGGGTCATTCGATCAATTTTTGTTTTGATTTTTTTTTGTGGGGGGGGGGGGCACCCCCGTATTTACGCCACATACCTTTTCTGTAGAGGTCCCCATCGTCGTAGTAGCTGCCGGTAAAGATACCCGTAGCCCTCTCCACTAGATACCGGACCCATGTGTTGCCTGATCCAGGAAAACTTGCTAGAGTTATCAGCGGAAACGTTCGCTCCTTCCCCATCACTATGTTGGTACATCGTGAATCTGTGAGGGAAGGGGGGGGGGGGAGGAGAAAATAGTGTTAAAGGTAAAGACCAGTATTGGAAACGCCCCAATTTCAAAAAATGAAATGGAAGCTCTTATTACTAATCATGTGAAAGAATATGTTTTGACTTATACATGATGATACAAATTTTGCCGGGAAACCGCCTACTAATTGATATATTTGGTAAAGTAGTTTATCTACATGGTCTGTGAGAGATAAACGCACGTGTCGTGCACGTGTGCGTAAAGTCCCATATACATCTTTCTGAGTACAGTGCTTGTAACTTTACGAAGACTAGGCCATATTTCTTATCATTTTGATGATTCCAGAACCTTGCAGTACACACCAATTCTTATATGCTAGATGATCAACCTTTTCTGTTCGATTCCACAACGTTTCTTTCACAATGCAATCGCATGACCATAACTGGTATTTACCTTTAAAGGGGTAAGATTTTAATTAAATAGACCAGTTCGTAGATGGTTCAAATGATTCCAAATATCCACAGATCTTTTCATCATCGAGAAGTCCCACTTTGTGCATTTTAGAATCAGCAAGGCCAAAGTGATGGAAAGTGCTCCCTTTTGTTTGCCTTCTTAAAAAGAACACTTCCAGCTGAACGTAGCTTCGATGCATAAATGAATAATGATCACATAATATTCATACACATGTATCCAGGCATTCGTCTCAATGCTTTTTAACAACTTTGCACCTTATCTTCCCATGCGCAGATAGTATCTTTGAACTTTTTAAACATAGATTAAACCGTTTATGCTTCGTTCGGAAACATTCTGCAGGTATTAAAAATCATACAGGAGCATGAAGAAAATTACATCCCACTCATTTTCTGCTCTGTTCACAAAATTCACACACCCTTTATAATTTCCTTTATATTTTCACCTTTTGAGGGGAGGGGGTCGGGGGTTGTAACAACTTTTTCTCTTTAAAAAAACAACCGAGCTGGAGCCCTTATACAAAAATTTGTATTTCTTTTGGGCAATTTCGAGGTATTGGTTGTTATTCATATTTTCTCATATTAATAGTAATGTCATCATTTATGTGTGCTGTCATAGATTATATTTATGCTCCTGGAAATTACATAAATGAATGAATGAATCAACAAATTAATGAATACATATAGATAAATAGATGAATAAATATATTAACTGAATTAATGAAAAAGTGAATATAAAAACAATTTAATAAACAAACGAAACAGCAAATGAATAAAATGAATTAACAAAAAGTTGTAAAAACATTACCTTCGACGCCTGTTTGGTAGATTGCATAGTAGTTTGTCCCGCCACAGAAGACACTGGAATCACCTGCGCAAGGCTCCTGGCATTCGCTGGGCTCCACCGTGTGACGAAGGGTGTAGTTATGTGTGAGGTAGCCGCAGTGACATTGGGATCCGCGAAATAATGCTGCAAGAGGCAGAGACTGCAGGGAGAGTAAGTGAGAAAGAAAGAAAGAAAGAAAGAAAGAGAAAGAAGATGATTTACAAAACATTCTGTTATGTTATTAATTACTATGATTCAGGATAATCTATTTCCCTATTACATAAAGAGATTTTAATAATTTGTAAAATGTGATATGCTTGGCCAATTTTGCATGGAATATAAGTAAAAGCAACCAATCAAACAATATAAATAATTTTGGAGAATTTTGGGATTTTTATGAAAAAAAAAACCTCAATCGAGGTGCTTTATATTAATACTATTAATATAGGGACTGCATCTAATTTGCAAGTGATATTAAAATAATTTATTATTATCTCTGTCTTTTTATTTACTGCACACATAATACATAAATGTGTCACTATTCGGACACCTTTCCAGCAATTTCCTTAACTGTTTATATATAGTACACAAGTAATCTCCCTGTATCACATTGTATTCACCATAGGATAGATACAAATGTTTTACAATTATTTAACCAATTCCAGTGCAAGAATAATATGTTTCGGTGTTGAGAGGGTTGCTATGGAGACTGGAAACAGGTACTTTTGCAAAGCCATTATGTTTCACGAAGAGATCCTTCCGTCGATTGGTGTTTTGTGCAACATTGCATGTGTGGTAAACAAGCGACCGCCCAGACAGAGACGAAGTAACCAAGTGAAGAGTTAATGAATCCATTAATAAATCATAACTCTTAATATTGGAAGTTCCATTTCATTGGACCGTCTCTTTGGAGATGTATTTGCGTCGAATATATCGAGGGTTCAGTGGCACAAAGACGTAACTCCATATTTTGCCAAAATGAGTATTTGATATCAAAATGTTCAGAAAATGTGGGCTTTGCAGGAAACACAAAGACTTAACTCCAACCAACACTCCATTGAAGTCAATGGCTAGTGAAACATAGACTTAACTCGGTAAGGCCCAAGTGCTCAGTGACACAAACCACTTTTTCTCAAAATGGCCAAAATGGAGTTACGTCTTTGTTTCACTGACCCCTCGATATGATACTAATTAATCAGGGTACTGCTTAGTACCAGGCATGCATACACACAATAGATAAAATCAATCAGCATCATTTATCGCTACTAGCACTAGGTTCAATCAAATAATGGGCTGATGTTATGGCACAAGATAATTACATTAAAAATGAATGATTTAAAGACCTTTATTACCCAAACAGTACACATTGAAATCACATGTACAATCTATGGTAACACGACGCCGCTTGATATAGCAATGTATTGTAGGGTGGCCCCCCTTGTTAATCCTTGTTAAACAAATAACAACTTACATTAATAGGGTATTCATCCTTTGTTTCAACAGATACCCATCATCCCAATATAACTGCCAAATGAGGAGAAATATTCTATGCTTTTCTGAAGCCCTTTGTTATCCTTCAGTTGTACCTGGGCCCCGTCTTACAAAGAGTTGATATCAATCGTAACTTATTTGCGATTGATATCAATCGTAACTATGTACATAAGAGATAGGAGACTGCAAACTTGCGATTGATTGGAGGACTTGCGATTGATTTGGATCGATCGTAACTCTTTGTAAGACGGGGCCCTGATATACTTCCCTAGTGTTTTCATTTCCCTCAATGGCATTTGCATACTTGGGAGGGAGCAGTTGGGAGGGAGCAGAGTTGGGAGGGGCGGTTGGTGGAAGGGGGGGGGGCTGGGCGAGGGGGCTGGGCGAGGGGGTTGGGTAGTTGTGAAGAACCGAATTCGCAGCGTGGACTCAAAGAAAACCACAACATCCAACGATCAACAATGACCAATAAATGAATAAATGAATAATTAAACAAAGGGATTTGGTCTTTAGATGTCAAAAGTTGCCTAAAAAGTATTTTCATTCATTTCTCTCATTTCATTATAGGCCTACACGTAAATACAAAATAAACATTATGTAAATTATTATCAACTTACTTGTTTTTCGCAAATCGTAATACAAATAGAAGTTGTCATTTTATCACTTTCTTCCATGAATTTGGTGAAGGAAGTGTAATCGTCTGGTCTTTCCGCACAGCTCCGATATCCATCTCGAAAACCTTTCATTGGACCCTCCTCTGTAAATCAAAGAAAAAGAACAGAATTTCTGTTATGTTTATTTCCAAAAGGTAAATATCAACTCATGAGAGCTACAAAAGGTGTATAGTGTGCATGTAATAAATCGTACTTGTATGTCTATCTTAAATTGCCCTGAGAGGCTTACCTAAGTTTGAGGGGAAGACGTCATCGTTAAATGTTTAAAAAGTTAAAAAGGAAACGCACCCCTTTCAAAAGTTTTCATGTTTTCTGTCTGAGTTTCCTGAATGCACTTGGAAGAAATTCGACTATTACCCCATGTTTCATTTTGGGGGTGAGATATTTCATCCAGTGGGTGAGGTAATCAAACACAAAACTAAACAGATTACATAGATGAAATATAAGAGAAGAAAGGATTGCCAAATTTGTATGGTTCATGGAGTTGCACTCCAAAACACAGCACAGTGTTTTTAATGTATTTGTCCATAGTACATATTAGGATAGGTGGAGTTGACTAACAACTTTAACGAATACAAATCCAGTGTTCTTCTTGACGAGTAGTGAACCTGTATCAATCTACGTCACATGTAATTTAGTATGGCCTGATTTCTCCAGCTCCAGAGGAGACGCTTCGGAAACAGCTAAATTACTCTCGTGGAATCCATGGGACAGATTTAGGAAGCGAGTAATAGAAAGAGAGTAATTTCACAGTCTAAAACACACTGGCACCCCAACAGATTTATAAGAGTTCTAAGAGCGGGTTTGCCTCCTAATTTATATGGAAATAAATTGAACGCGCTGCTTGACATTTTCCCATTTTATTGTATAAATGTTTGATGGCATAACGCCAACATCCAATATCGCGTGCCAAACCACACTTTCTCCATCTCTTTGACGGTTCATCCGAGATATTTCCACCAAATATTGTAAATAGAACCCTCAACAAGAGGGCGGTTCTGACATAATGATGGAAAAATGGTCTTGGGAGTCATCATCAGTGTAGCTACCCATTAACAAAATTGCATTATCATTTCAAACCATTTTCAATTCAAGGTAGAGTTTCGTTAAAATTGAAAATATAATTTATAGGAGAATTCCTGTTCATTTCATTCGTAAGATGAAGAATGTCTTTGTAGCTTCCTATTTTTCAATTAAAACATAAGTACAAATACGTACAAAAGCGTAACATAAATAGGCGAACAACTGCAAGCAATACTCAATTCAATGCCACTCAGCATCGGCATCGTCATTTTCTTGATAGCATGACGTACTATGTGAGGTTGTCTATTAATTCAATGTACTTAAATGTTAAGGATGCTTCCTTCCCAGGTGTGTGTGGTGATGAAGCATTTCATTCAACTGCTAATGTGCTTTATGATACTTGCCAGAACGAAAATTACATAAATAAGCTGTTGTTCTTCTGCGATGGGCTGAATGTTTCGCATAAAAGAAATAGATTTGTCAAATGCTATATTTTAGTATTCTTAAAGAAATGAGTTACAATTGTTCCCCTGTTATGTATTTTCCCCATTTATAATTTTTCCTTCTCAGCTACAATTCTCCTCATTGATAAGTAAAGGTTTTGTTATTTAATTGAAAAGTCTTTAAAACTGAAGCTAGGTGGATGATACATGTATAACTTCACCTGGTACGTCACATTTTCAAGAAAATGGCTGCGCCCATATCATGCTGAAAGACATCACATCATGCCAGGAATATCTTCATTTATAAATCTCTTGTTCATTTTCGTAAGGGGTATTGTACATCAAAGGGCAGGAATGCATCTCATTTTTCAGAATACCTACATCTACTTTGGGGTGAGGTTTCTTTTTAGTAACCTATAAGGGTGGTTCTTCATCATTTTATCATAAGCTACCATGAATGTGTGATGAAGGTCGATCTTTATTATCCCATGTGATATCTCACATGACCTGGGTGTCAATGTCACATGACTAGGATCTCAATGTCACATCGGGGATTCATAAAAGCACGGCATCTCGTTATGAGGTGATCATTACCATTATACTAATGAACTTCATTATCTTCGTCAGTGTAATCCACTTGCCCAGTGGCATAACGTGGGTCCATACATTGGAGGGGCGGGGTCGGGGGGTTTGTGGTCGGGGGTTTGGGGGCCGGGGAACCGCTCTTAAATTATTAATGGAATGCAAATTATCAAGGTAAACAAAATAAGGGGGATATATAGGAGAGGGGTCGCAATGTCTTCCTTTCATGTTCCCTTCTCCATCTACCATGTATTTTGCCTTTCTTTTTATCAGTCCTACTATTTATTTTTGCATTTTCCTCTTCTTCTTTTTTTTTTTTGGGGGGGGGAGGGGCATGTACCCATGTGCCCCTGTAACTACGCCATTGCACAAACCAGCCAGTTAACACTAATTCATTTTTACAGCGTCAACACCAGCATCTCAATCTAATTGGCAATAAGCCCATTCTCTTTGATTTCGTTGTCAGAATGAAATCATGCTTGATGTTCATCATGAGATCGTGATTATCATCCATGGTAAGTATACCAGATACATTACATCAATGTCTCTTCCTCCCTTTCATTAATCTGTCACAACTCAGCCTCGAGCTAAAATATCAATCTCATCAATTGACTGAGCTGATATCAAAGAGCGGATCTTTCCAATCGTAATCATAACCGAGGCCTCTTTCAAACCTCACGCTCCAAAGCATATTCTTTTATTTTCCTGTAACTATCTGATTATTTCCATCTCAATGATCCCCTTGTTGTGAGATAATTACTATAATATTACTGCTGTCATCATCGCTTTCGTTATATTTATCATTCTTCAAATCGACATTGTAATAATTGTCATCTACTGCCATCGTCATCGTCAACGTTACCACTGCAATTAACATCCTCATCATTTCCTATCAATGCCAACGTTATCACTACCATGCTTATCATAACATCATCAAAATGTTTGGTATAGATCCTAGTCACTCCTTGTCATATTCATCACCATCGCTGTGAAAAATGTTCTCATCACCAGCGAAGTGCTAAATTAGACACCACCGTTCCAAATAACTGTCTAAACCACCCCCCCCCCCTCCCTGTCTTAAAGTCAGCAGCACCAAACTCTTCATGATCTCAGAACGTTTTAACCATAACCACTGTCATTACAAATTGTCTATCCTTCCCCCTCCCGCTCTCCACCCTCCTCCCTACCACAAGTATAATCGATAACACAGACACACCGCTAAACCGACTCCAAACCTACTCCAGAATCGAACCATTCGGGGTAAATCTTTGTTCGGTCTGTTGTCGGTCTGTTGTCGGTCTGTTGTCGGTCTGGCGTCGGTCTGGCGTCGGTCTGGCGTCGGTCTGGCGTCGGTCTGGCATCGGTCTGCTATCGGTCTGTTGTCGGTGTGCTGTCGGTCTGGCGTCGGTCTGTTGTCGGTGTGTTGTCGGTCTGGCGTTGGTCTGACTTTGATCTGCTGTCGGTTTGGCGTCGGTCTGCTGACGGTCTACTGTCGGTCTGGCGTCGGTCTGGCTTTGGTCTGCTGTCGGTCTGGCGTCGGTTTGCGCTGTCGGTCTAGTGTCGGTCTGGCGTTGGTCTGTTGTAGGTCTGCCATCGGTGTGCTGTTGGAATGGCGTCGGTCTGTTTGCATTCTACTATCGGTCTGTTGTCAATGTGATGTCGTTGTGCAGTCGGTCTGGCGTTGGTCTCGTTGGTGCGACTGCGGTATGACCGGGTCATTAGATAGTATTTAATAACCTGCGGCAAGCTGATGGGCGATGCACTACTTAAGGCTAACGATCTCCAAGCAAAATGTCATCTTATGTCAATACCCCTATCTCTTGAAAACCATCCATCATTCCAATCTCATTAAAGTGGTCTACCGTTGGCTCAAAATACAAAGAAGGAGCTAATTTAGCTGTGTGGTTACATCAGTATCCACGTTACTAGACTTCATCGATGAGTATTCAAAACAAAACAAAAATGGGGGGGGGGGGAGGAAACTGGTCAGCTTTGCCTTTTGTTGGTTTGGTTTGATGTTTTGTGGGCCTTCAAACGGAGAGAAGATGGGTGTTGGGGGGGGGGGGGGGGGTCGCCCGCTTCAGCCCTTGCTGGATAGTGGATACCCCCATTAGATAAAGACACCACAAAATGTCAACTCTTTGGCAAGCTGACATTTTCAGCAGCAAAGATAATTACTCCCGACGGATGCGTTCATAAAGATCACAGGAACACTGGTATTATGTCATTTTAAAAAGTGGTTCGGTTTGGCACGACACAAGGAACTCTGTAAATATGGTGAAGGATTGGCAAACATGATGTTAATGTTCTTCCAATTGTAACCAATAATTACATTTATGTCTTCATCCTTCTTTATAGCCGGAAATTCATATTTTGATTACTGTCACTTACATTAGTAATTGGACAATACATATTACAGGGCATATACGAACACCTAACGAAGTTATCTCGCAAAATATGCTTGGTACCAATATAATAATGTACATGCATTTTTTTTATTAACAGATTTTAAGTAGAACAATATCTATCCACTTTTGTATATCTAAATCATGTATTAGATCCAATCCGCTACTCGTTCCAGTTCAGTTAGACGTAGATGAAGTCTGACTAGATTTCATATTGAATCACTGACATCATTCTACATAGAATTGCGAATACTTTTTTTTACAGCAAGTACTTTCAAGGGTTGAGAATTGTGTTACATGTAAATCACGCATTGGGAATAAAGTCATACTACACGGGCTGTATTGTTTCCACACTCCATGCATGCTGCCCAGTTCACAAGCAATGGCTGAGAGGACTTGGCAGCATGAAAGAAAGAAAGGAAGAAGAAATAAAGAAGGAAGGAAGGAAGGAAGAAAGGGAAGACGGATCTTAAAGTGGATGATGTTGATCAGTCTCTCATGTTGCCTGGCTGGAGAATAAGAGTTGAGATTCGATGCACGAACAGAGTTCGATAAAGAGGAGGCCACTTAGATGCGACAGAGAAAAGAACTTAGGCACTGCTGCATACGATACACATCAGAATCACCCTT